CTGCTTAGAGAGGGCTGAAAGCCCTATGAAGCGGTATATAAGTCTAACTGCTATTGCTATTGCTATTCTCCAAAGGACCCAAAGACCAGAGAAAGAACACTAGATGGAAATTGACCAAGGAGAGATTCAACCTGGAAATAAGGAGGAATTTTCTGACAGTGAGAACAGTCCACCCATGGAAGAGAAGTTGCCTTCAGAAGTTTTGGGAACTTCACTGGAAGCTTTCAATAAGAGACGGGGCTTCCATCTGTCAGAAATGGTGTAGGATCCCCTGCTCCAACTAGATGATGTCCAAGGTCCCTTCCAACCCGTTTCTTCTGAGGAGCCTATGGCTCATCTGCCCCCTGCTGGCTTTGGGTCCAAGCAGAAACCTTTGCACACCACAACCGAAAAGAATTTCCTCTTTTGGGACAAGAAGGGAGCGGCTGGTCTCAACTGAGCCAGGCCTGGGCCAAACATGGGTGATGGCAAGAAGGGGGCTAGGAGGGCCCACCAGTCGGACAGATGATGGTTAACCTATGGGTTTAACTGCGGTTGCAGGATATGTTAAGCCACAATGAAAGCAGTGGAAACCCAGATTTCCTAGGGCAGAGGTCTTCAAATTTGGCAACTTGAAGACTTGTGGACTTCAACTCCCAGAATTCCCCAATCAGCATAATTTACTCTCTTGTAATCACTTTCTCTGTGATCTCTCCACTTAGATCAGAAGTCTTCAAACTTAGTCACTTTAAGACTTGTGGACTTCAACTCCCATAATTCCCCAGTCAGCATAATTTACTCACTTGTAATCGCTTCCTCTGTGATCTCTCCACTTAGATCAGAGGTCTTCAAACTTGGCCACTGGAAGACTTGTGGACTCCAACTCCCAGAATTCCCCAGCCAGCTGAGTGGGGAATTCTGGGATTTCAAGTCCACAAGTCTTCCCGTGGCCACGTTTGGAGAGCTGTGGTCTACGGGCCAGTAGTCTGAATTCCAGCTGATTTAGTAAATAACCGGGAAGTCTTCCGCTCTCGGAGAAATGGGGAAGCCCCGTAGGAGCCGGGCGGAAAGCGGCCAAGGTTCACGGAAAGAAGGGAGCCAAGTGGTTGAAAGGAGCCGGAGTGGGGTTGGGGGTGAGGCAGCCGCGGCTAAACGCTCGCAGGGACGGTGGGAGGTGAAGGGGAGTGGGAGGGCCGCGGGTGAGATGGGGACTGATGGCATCGTTTGCCTACAAAAGCCAGCGGAGAGCCAAGACGGAGCTTCTCCCCGGAAGCCACGAAGCGCTCAGCACTCCCATTACTCCCCCGGTTCCCCTTCGGCCTCCCCCTGGGCGTCTCCCCGGATCTCCACCTCGGCCGACTCCCCATTCTCCCCCTCAGCCCGTGGCCGACTCAAGGCGGCCTTCCGGGCGCCCCGCTGACGGCGCCTCCACCCCACCGGAGCGCTAGGCTGGAAAGGCGGCCCCGTTCGACGGGAGCTCCGCAGCCGGCCCCGCCCGGGTGGCGCCGGGTGCAATGGCGGCGCTGTCCAACCCCCCCCCCCTTAAGTCCCTGAGGCAGGTGCGGGCGGCGGCAGTCTCTGCGCGGGCGGCGCCTCCCCTCCAGCCCCCTCGAGAGCGGCTTACCATGGTGGTGGCGTCTCGCTGGAGCCCCGGCCTCTTCCCGATCCTTGGCGCTCCCCCGCGCCTCTTCCTTCCTCCTCCTCCTCCGCCGCCTCGCAGGTAGCCCTGGGCGGACCCAAGTGCCAGGCCCGCCCTCTCCGGCCCACACAGGGCCCGTCCGCCCGGGGTTGCGCGGGGCCCGAGGCCAGAGCCGGAGGCCAATGGGCCGAGCAGCAATGGCTGCCCCTCTCGGCCAGGCAAAGACCTCCCCCGTCGCCATTCGAGCCACGGAACGATCCGGTTTCAGGCTTCCCGGGGAAGGAAAGGGGGCACATGGCACCGGCGCTCCCCTCCGGACGCTGGCAGGCATTTGCTCTTCTTGCCTTCACTTCCTTTTGAAGGCTGAATCGCCTCCTAAGCTGACTTGGCCCGTTTTGCGAACTGAATGTGGTGGCCGTAGTGATGAAGCCTGAAGCCTGAGCTGGCACTCCATGGCAGCCCCAGAGGGAAGGCTGCAGGGGGAACCTTATGTTGTCTCTTAGGCAAAACTCTCAAGGCTCAAACCCCTTGCCAAAGGGAGGGAAATCACCAGCCTTTTGGTTCTTCTGAGGGCTTGCCTGCTTTGGGTAGGGCTCTCCCACCAGCCTCCCTCCAGACCTTGGATATCAGAAAAGGGTTTAAGCGTCCATCACAGGCTGAGTGACATCCTCTTGTTTTAGGTCCAACACAAGTTGAATCTTTCTCTATGAGCTGCTTTGCCCTTCCTACAGCTGCCTATTCCCTCTTCCAGCTCCCCTGTAATAAAGGGACGGTCAAATGGCCCGAGATGGTTGGCACCACCTGTTGTCCAATAGTATCTACCCAGAGTGGGTTCCCTTTGAACTGGGTAACTTGTGGGTTCAATAGATCGGTGGTTTCATATGTTAGACCTTGGGCACGGAAGGTCCTGCAACCTTGAGAAATAAATTTCCTGGAGCATTTCTGAATGGTGTCTATACAGTTGTAGTAAAATGCAGGTGTCTGCATTTTTAGCACACTTTCATCCAAGACCACAGGAAACCTGGGGCCTTTTCAAGTTGTTCATTTTTTGGAATTTCACAACTTGTGGTAGGACAGCAGCTGTAACCTTACGTAGAACAAGTTGGCTTTGTGGGCTTGGTATTGGCAGCCCTACCGACTTTAAGCATTGGTGTGCTACGTTCTCATGAAAATACAGCCTGTGTTTTAGTTTGTCCTCCATCAGTCACAAAAGGACACAACTGACAACTGAACCTACAATAGCAGAGTCCCTGCTTATACTGCAGCAATCTGGTTTCAGGCCCAGCAAAAATTATGTAGCCCAAATTCTCAACACAATACATAAAGGACAGCTTCAAATTGGAAAAAAATGACAGGAGTGGCATTCATAAATCTCACCATGGCTTACAATACAGCCAACCATACTGCTCTGTTGAAGAAACTCCTTCATCTTACAAAGGATTTTAAGTTCACAAACATTTTAGGATGCCTACTAGAAAATCATAGATTTAATGTCAACTTTCACGGACAACATATTGATGAAGAATGCAAAGAAACAGACTTCCAGAGGGCAGCACGCTGGCTCCTGGGCTATTTAACAGAGATACCAATGACCAACAAATGTTAATTATCATTAATGTGTAATGTAGGAGTAATAACTGCCCAAGACCTTTTCCCACTTCAAAATATTGCTATTTTTTTTTAAAGTGCAAAGAAGAGCAACTAAGATGATTAAATGCCTGGAGACAAAAGAATGCTTGCAGGGATTGGGTTTGACTGGTTTAGAGAAAAGAAGGGGTGACATGATAGCAGTATTCCAGTGTTTTTGGGACTGCCATAAAGAAGAGGGGACCAACCTATTGTCCAAAGTACCTGAGAGAAGAACAAGAAACAATGGATGGAAACTAATCAAGGAGAGAAGCAACCTGGAATTAAGGAGAAATTCCCTAACAGTGGGAACAGTTAATCAGTGGAACAGCTTGCCACCAGAAGTTGTGCTTTATCACTGGGTTTTTTAAAGAAGAGACTGGACAACCACTTGTCTGAAATGGTTGAGCAGAGGGTTGGACTAGGAAACCTCCAAGGACCCTTCCAATTCTATTCTGATTGGTTGATTCTGCCCAATAGCATCGGAGAGTTGGACAGTTAACCTCCCATAATATTAAATGTGAACACTGAACTGAGCAGTGTATTAAACTTAAAGTACAAAAGTGACATCAGAGTGTCACATGGAGACCTTTATGAAAACATACAGTTGCAACCAATTGGGAAAAAAGCACATAGTTGAATCATCCTTTGTTATTCATCCCCAGAAAGTCCTTTATTTTGCAGTTAAAAGAGCGGAGCGCGGAAAGACCCTTCCCTCGGCCTAAGTCTACAAGCCTTGGGCAGCGCGCCCGACCGGAAGTACAGGCTGAGCGGCGGCCTGACTGCAGCCGCTGCTGTCCGAGCTCCGTTGAGAAACCAGGACGAGGCGCCTCCGCCGCCACCGGCGGGATGAAGCCGAGCCGCGCCGCCGCAGGTGGAAGAAGGCGGGGGGGGGGGCGGCTTCGGGGGTCGCCTCGCTCGCAAGAAGCTGAGCTGGCCGGCCGGAGACGCAGGGTGGGGGGAGTTGGGGCTGGTGGGGCCGGAGCTCCCGGGGGCTGCTCCCGACGCCCTCCGCGTTTCAAGTTGGCCTTTGGGGCCGCCTCATTTCCAGGCCGCGCAGCCCCCCAAATTCTGGGGCTGGCAGGCGACGCTGGGCGTGGCTGGCTGGAGCGGGACTCCAGGCAAGCGGGGCTTCCAACGCTTTGCTTGGATTCACCCGCGTTCGCAGCTGCCCTTCGGAGTGGCGGCCTCTTCCTCGCCGCGGGGATCTTGCGCGCCTTGCAATGCGGGGTTCGGTAGAGCAGGCGTCCCCAAGCCCCGGGCCGCCTCCCCCCGTGGGAAAGCGGGCTTGCACGGAAGCCTTTCACCGCCTCCGCCCCGCACGTCGCTGCCCAAGGCCGGAAAGGTAGGGGACCCCTGATGTCGATCTTCCCCGAGGCCCCATTGTCTCCTTTTCCCTCTCCAGAAGCCGAGAGGCCGGCGCCTCCTGCCCTCCAGCAGATGCCCAGGAAGGAGAAGGGGGCCTCGGCTCCCCCCAGCTGGGCCAGGCGCCTCCTGGGCTTTGAACGCGGGGACCTGTCAGGCTGGCACCGCCTTGTCTGCTTGCTGAATAGGCCAACTGATCCCGCAGGCCTGGGGGTCTTCCGCTTCCTCTTCGGTGAGTTTGGATCTGGCCAGAACCGAATCCGTTGGAAGAATTGACTTGAATTGACTTGCATACAAATTTGGTACTTGATTTAGGAAAAACGGCCCCCAGTTTTCTTCCCCAAAAGTCACCTCAGGAATCAGATTGAAAAAGTGGAATTACTTAGTGACAAATGAAGAAGTCTTGCGCTATTATTATTATTATTTTAATAAATTTTTATTCAACATTTTCCAAACATGAAAATCACAATTACACGTTTGCAGCTTTCCATTACCGTATCTCTTTTTTTCTAATTTTGGGTTTTCCATTCGACAACATATTGTCATTTTTGTTTCATATTTTCTCATTTTCTAGGGGAGGGAGAGTTGACATCATGGTTGCTCAACACACCCAGTGTTGGCTTTGGATTTCACAATGTTGTGGGGGTGGAGGCATTTTGGAAAGGTCCCTGCCCCCACACGCCAGATCCTTGGAATAGCTGATGTGGCTGGATTTGGGAGGTGGTTAATGCACCGGGGGTGGGGGGGTTAACCATCTGGCTTGAAGGAGGCAAGAAGGCCTGCAGAAGAGGTCATCTCCATCCTGGGTGGATCACTTCCTTACATCCTCCCTTTCTGAGGAAATTTCTGGAGAGATAGTGGGGCTTCAGCTCAATAAGAAATGGATCTTCTAGATCAAGAGGTCTTCAAACTGGGCAACTTGAAGACTTGTGGACTTCAACTCCCAGAGCTGGCTGGAGAATTCTGGGAGTTGAAGTCCACAAGTCTTCAAGTTGCCAAGTTTGGGGACCCCTGTTCTGGATTCTTTCCAATAGATTTCCATCCTGGCCCTGGCCCAGAAATAGCATTGGCCATTCTTGGTGGATGACCATCATCAGGACTTAGAGTATACCCTTCCCAGTCCTATTCTACCTCCTACCACCATCCAGTGTCTTCCGCCATGCTGTCCTTCTGGCCTGCTTGAGAAGGTTGAAGATGTTCTTCTGCTCCTTTCTGAGCAGGTGGCTTCAGCCATATTATGCCTGGCTGTGGCTGCTCCAGTGTGGAGTACCCAGATGTTTAGGTCCTGGGCTGTTTAATGTCCATGTGAAACTGCTTTGGGATGGTTTTTGGTTACACATGTGAGGTCTGAAAGCTGAGATTGAATCTCAGCCTTGCTGTCTGCAACTGATCAATTTATCTTGATACTGGACTCTAGATTGGCACTGCGTAGGAGGGCCAGGGCTGTCCTATTAAAGCACCTCTGTGACAGGGTTCTAGATCACAACTCCTACTCAAACATAAGGTGGCCTGGTCACTTCGAATAAGAAAATAAGACAAAACAGACTTGGGTGGGGTTATTTGACTTGGAATAAGAAAAAAAAAACAGACTTGGGTGCAGAGGTGGGTTTCCCTCGGTTCAATCCGGATCTGTCCAAACCAATTTCATTGTATTTAAGTACAATGACAATAAAGATTATACTTAGTAGAAGTGGCAGGAGGCTCCACCCACTCACAAAAGCGGCAGGAGGCTCCACCCACCCATAGAAGTGGCGCTCACAGGCCCGAACCGATAGTAAAAAAATTGGCAACCCACCACTGCTTGGGTGGGGTTATTTGACTTCTGGGAACTGAACAAAATGGGGGCTGGGAGGTAAGTAAATTGGTTGCCAGCTGACCTTAGGAAAGGAAAGATTGACATGTTTACCTATAAGCAGTGGTGGGATTCGAATTTGTTTACTACCGGTTCTATAGGCGTGGCTTGGTGGGCATGGCAGGGGAAGGATACTGCAAAATCCCCATTTCCTCCTGATCAGCTGGGACTTGGGAGGCAGAAAATAGATGGGGGCAGGTCCAGTCGGAGGTGGTATTTACTGGTTCTCCAAACTACTCAAAATTTCTGCTACTGGTTCTCCAGAACTGGTCAGAATCTGCTGAATCCCCCCTCTGCCTATAAGTCCTTCAGCATTGGTGAAAATCACAGGGACAGTGTGTGCAGTGTGCAGTCCATCTCAAGCCTCTGTGTGTGGCTGCACTGGAGAAGGGTGAGGATTTCTACAGCCACTTCCATTTTTTCTCTTCCATGACTCCAGTTGACTGAGCATGGTTGTGCAGAGCCACTGAGTAGCTCTTCTCCAGAACTCTTCCAGTCCCTCGAGGGCTACAGCTTGGGCTCAGCCTTGAAGATGCAGAGAGCCTGGCCTGCTACTGTTGCCCACTGCCCCCTTTCTCTGCTCCTTCTCCAGGCCTGCTGATGGCCCTAGACATTCCCCAAGAGCGAGGGTTGAGCTACCTGGATCACAAATACCTCGATGGGCTGCAAGTTTGTCGCTTCCCCCTCTTCAACTTCCTGGAGCCACTTCCCCTGGACTGGATGTACCTTGTCTACACAGTCATGCTGTTGGGTGAGGACCACACTGGGGTTGTGCGCAGGGGGTAATGTGGGGGTATTGTGGGTGTGCTGGCTGAGCCCCCTTCCTCTCGCTTCCTGACTTTTGTGGTGCTTTCCCTGTTGGGTCTCCTTGCAATGTGTGTGGCTGCCGAGGATCAGAGAGGACGGGGCAACCGATCAGCCATCCCACTGTGTGATTCCCCTGGAGTTGGAAGTGGAAAGACAGGCCAGAGAATGGCAGGCAGGGCAACAAACGGGAAATGTTGTATACAACCCAGAGTTTTTCCCAAGTGGGGCTGGGGAAAAGGGGGAACAGGCGGATTGCTTGGTATGAAGGAAGCTGAAGGGGAAAAGAAGGTAATTAGGGACCCCTAGAAAATCTGGACAGCTCTGGCATTTCCAGTGTAGTCTGTAGCCCACCAGCAATCAAGAGCAGCCCCATAGAAAGACAGCTTGTTCTGGAGCGGCCCCATGGAAGGATAGCCAAGGCCAGAGGAGCAGCAGACATTCCCACTTGCCAGAGGGAGAAGACAATCGCAGTAAATCAAATCTACCTGCCGCCAGCCATAAGAGAGTAGCAGCCAAGCGTAAATATATCTCTTGATTAACTCAAGGAGTGGTTTGTAGGGAGGGCTTACAAGTGTAGCTACAGGCTGGATTAGACGTTGCCTTGGCTTGTAAGGCAAGCACCACAGGAAATTAACGGATTGTGCTTGCATTGTGTACCAGACTCTTGTCCATAAGCTACAAAGAGGTGAGGAGATGAAGCTGGTTTTCCTCTGTTAGTTGAACGCTGCATAAATAATCTTGCCGTACTGAAAACGAAGCCAAGGTTTTCCAGTTTTAAATGTTAAAAATAAAGCAGAAGAAAGTATTCAGGAGAAAGCGCTGGAGCTTGTCTGGTTGATGTGGAGGCCCTGAAAGGCCCCCCTCGCTTCTTCCCGTAGGGGCCGTGGGCATCATGCTGGGCTGCTTCTACCGACTGAGCTGCCTCCTCTTCCTGCTGCCCTACTGGTATGTCTTCTTCCTGGACAAAACCACTTGGAACAACCACTCCTACCTGTACGGCCTCCTGGGCTTCCAGCTGCTGTTCATGAACGCCAATCGCTACTGGTAAGGCTCCACCGCTTTTGTGTTTCTTTGGCCCAAGGTGCCTTTCCCCCCTTCAGATCGAGTAAACATGTTTCCTGTTGTTCCGGTTGCATAACTTTAATTGGACATTTGCCCCAGCCTGGAGTCTGCCAGAGTCACATGCAGCAGAGGGAAGGCTGCATGCCAACCACGGAAGCTGTCGCGGGAGTGAAGAAACGACTGCTACAAAACAGCACTTTAACAACCCACATATGTGTTGTGCTGGACCTCTACCTTATCCCTGCCTCTTTTAAATACAATGAAGGCTTCTGCAGAAAACACAGCTGCGTCAGAGCTTAACCTGCATCCCCCACTGTGGCCAGTCTCTACATGGAAGAGGTAGAAACCACAGCCCTAAACTCCCTCACCTATTCACTGGTGTAGGTATATGGACGATACTTGGATCAAGATTACAACACAGGACGTAAAAGCCTTCACCAACTTCACCATCTCTGTGGACAAATACATTAAGTTCACACAGGAAGATGTGAAGGAAAATAGTTTGGCTTTCCTGAACGGTGCAGTATACATTAAGGAAGACAGAAGCCTTAATATTGAGGCTTACAGAAAACCTCCATTATTTACCTTTTGATTCTCACCACGCACTGGAGCAGAGAATGAAAATAAAGGGGTGAAGGTTTGCCTAGCAACCAAGAAGAAAAGAAAAAGAATTAAATACATCCAGGAAGTCCTCAGCTGTGACCCATCACAAGGCCCCCACTTGACATACCTGAAGCCCTTATAAGCAGAAGAACACCAACACTGACACGCCCTAAACTCCCCTGAAGGTATTACCTAGCTTGGTAATGAAATGTTCAGAAACCAACCCAGAAGTTTGGAGAATTAACCTTCACCCTCATCCTGCATGCAAGTTACAGATATTCGCCATGATTGCAAATGGACTAGGGAGGGGGGTCAAACTCAAGGCCCTGGGGCCGGATCCAGCTCACAGGGTACTTAGATCTGGCCTGCGGAACTGCACTGGAAACAGCGAAGGACCGGCCCACAGTGCTTCTGTTAGCAAAAATGGGCTTCTGAGCTCTATTTTCGGCTGCCACAGCCTCCTGCAACCCTCTGCCAGTGAAAATGGAGCTTGGGAGGGCTGCATGTGGCCCTCCCGAGCTCCATTTTCACTGGCAGAGGGTTGCAGGAGGCTGTGGCAGCCGAAAATAGAGCTCAGAAGCCCATTTTTGCTAACAGAAGCACTGTGGGCCGGTCCTTCGCTGTTTCCAGTGCAGTT